ATCAGGAGTCATTTTTAAATGAATCAGGGCTGCAGTCTGTTGGGGCATACACAGATACAACAAAGAACGTCTGCTACCACTTCGGGCGGACGATCTTATTAAGAATTTTAGTCGAATCGCATAGAGCCGGTAGTTGACAGGAACCCAGTCAAGTAGCGCAGCCTCAACATGTGTGTTCAACTAAATCCTCTCGACAGCATGACCAGCGGATTCCACAGTTGGGTCTACAGATAAGTGCAATGTGAAAGTATCGACGGAATTCGCAGGCGGTAAAACGAACCGTATCGTCGTGTTGAAGTCATGTAAACGAGTCTTTGTGAGGCAGCAGATCTCGATGACAAAGTTTTCTAAAGTGCGAATAAAGCCAAGCGGAGATTCGATTTGCATAAATGTCCGGATATTGTAGGTATCCAGCTTGAATTGGGAACGAGACGCTAGCAAGAGCCTGGTAATGCGGTCGGACGGCGTACTCTCGGAGCTAAACTCCTGATGCGTGCAGGGAGAACTATCACCCAAAGCGACACGATGTCGTGGACTCGGAAACGGAATGGGGTTACTAAGCGTGGGGAATTGAACAAACGTGGAAAAGTCACTTGGGTAGATACGGCCACTAGCACCTCGGCCACGGTTAGCCGCTCAGAGAGCAAAAAGAGCGAACAGAGAAAAGTTGCAACATCTATCCATAGGTTGTGTGGGCATGGTGCTTCTCAGTTGCTCAGGCCGAGTAAGGGGGTTGCCTGTGGCGGTCACACCCGGACACTTGAGCCATAAGGACCAGACCCCTAAGGCAGGGGACGATTAACGTATTCCACGAACCGTTGGGAGCCGGCTATTAAAATGAAGATAACATGAATTTTGAGTAAAAACACTACTCAGGACACCAAAGGAACTCTAGCGTGTCGTATGGAGGCCAGGAAAAGTATTCTGGACAACAGAACCCGCTATCAGCTTAGAATGACGTTGACATCCAATTAGCTCATACGTTTAATAATGTTCAGCCCACGTAAAAGCCAGTGACAAACGAGCTAGTGCATCCGCCTTCGGTCGTGTACTCACTTTTACTTGCATAAGTGAGTGATCAGCGGACCTATTGCCAATCATAGTGGCTTTGACGCTGCGTCTTACGTCTTGTGGTATTTAGTGAGGAACCAGGTGACCATCCCAGGACTCTCATGCTCTAAGATTCTGCCGCTGATTGTTCATGACTGCTTAATCATCTTCTCTGTGGACAAATTACTTATACTAACCTCCACAAGGTAAATCCCGATCAGAAACCTGGGGACGCGCCTGGCAGCGCACAGCTCCGCCGAACCAAGCACTTGTAGGACCTTGCATGGTGCTGACAGGTAACACGTAATTTGGTAGCTTGCTGCACACATGGGGAGGGTGTGACCCCCAGCTAGCGTACTTGATCCGAGGTTAATAGATACTTAAGTGAGACATCAGATGGCTTTTTGTCAGTCACCAAAATGTGTATCCAATTAACTTTTTTAGGTACTTTCACAGGATGTCAAGAAGAGATCACAATCATTCACGTGCAAACAGAGTCAGTTCCCTTATGTATGAAACGCACGGAGATCGTACATATGACCAATACAATATAAGCCATCCATCTTTTTTGTTTTCGTAATTGATCGAGGCGCAGAAAAACCGCACGTGACTTAGCGATGCATGCAGTAGATCCTTCGATGAGACTACTGATAAGGACGATACAGCGATCTAGATATGCGAAACGATCAACAAATACAAGTAGCTAATACTTGTAAGTATTGGGGGGGATTCATTTGGTTATCGTGAAGATTAGTCGCAGTTAGAGCCAGGCAGACAGCCAAGAAACATCCAGGAATGCGTTAGACCGATGTTTCGTTCCACTGGAATCCGTCAGTAGCGCGCACTAGTCGAATCCTGCCGGATTCGAAACCACGACCTTACTTTGGCGAACCAGCAACTAATGCCACCGAGTCATGAGCAACGGCAGTGGACCGCCATAACTTGTACGGTGATATAGCGCAATTAGCCCTCCACTGCCATGCAGATTATGAACGTGCAGTGGACAGGGCTGGCCCCCAGAGCAAGAACTTCTTTTGCAAGCCGCCACCAATCGAGGTGGCATGTAGGCTGCTAGGGCGACTACTGATTATTTGTAAGCAGTAGGGGGAGCTATTTCGACTGTGAAAGCTAGTAGTGCATGGGCAAACGAGGACTCTATATACTTAAGGTGTGAAGCATATATCAAACCGTGAAGCGTTATTCACCCGCTTATTCAACAGACAATGAATCATGAGCAAGGATGTAGTATGCGGGAGTACACCTGTGCACTACATATACCACTGAGTTGCCAGATGAGTTTTATTCGAATAAGGAGACGGCACGTACTCAAGAAGTCCACTGCTTTTTAACGTGTGTGATGGATGAAGTATACTGTACGTCTTGGCTTACATGCTGATAAGTGATGGAGAGAGCAATGGAACATTTGCTTATACCATCGAAAGATTGAGCAGTCTGAAGTGGCGAAATATAGGTGGTTGAGTACATCATCCAGTCGCCCTTTAATTATGGCTATTGTCAGTGTAAAAAGGACTGAATCGGAGAGTGCGAATGTGCTGCTCCGACAGTTTCAAGGTGTGGCATCCCGGGTAGATATTGAACTCCCCTAGATAGCAGCACGTGTAATTTGGCTTATGCAACATCAAGGCATTATCAAGTCACTTTGCCATCGGCAATATTGTCCACTGAATAATCGCAAGGTTCACAAAGTACACTCGCATAAAGAGGATGTATTCCATGGAGATTTCTGACGACCCGACACCAGTAAGAAGAGATAGTATTTTTGCCATGGCTGCCAGGCGTGAATTACGTATTTGATGTGAGAGCGAAAACTAGCAGTAAGCGGTTAAGGAAACAAAGAAGTAGGTGTCCGAAAGCACTAGGCAAAAGTCCGACGTGCTCAGTGTTTTCGATTTTCTGGAACAATCCAAGTCACCAAAAACAATTACACTAATGTTCCATTCCATCAAGGACATTTGCAGTAGACGTTCGCAAAGCTTGCAGGGACAGCGCTTTGGTATCGCATGAGGAGTGTCCCACATTTGTCCAAGTAGGCGCGGAAGATATTACACTGACGACTACTAATGTGCCTTGTCCAAGTCGCACTGGGGCAGTTGTTGGTCAAGATTAACGGCCACTAATGAACATTAGATTCAGCCCTAACAATGAATCATGCAGTAGGTCATATTCGACTTGTAGATGATCAGGCAGTAAAGACCGAACCTTAACTCCCTCTTATTACCGAAAAAAGAAGTTGAAAATGCAGCTAAGGACAGGATAATCTATACCATAATACTGAAGCTTGGAAAAAGGATTTGATGACATAGGCAGTTGAATGCATTCGGTAAATCGAGAAGGAGCACATCAACGTTTTGTGAACACCCACCGAGTCAGTCCAGCCAACCATTGCTACTAAACGATTCATGATGGTAACGTGGTGCTCGCGAGCGATACTGTTTCGATTATGCAATTAGGTTATCAACGTATCGGCAACGATGGATCCAAGTGCCATGGACAGCTGCGAAAGAAGTGTTGCTGGGCGATAGTACATAGGTTTAGGTATACTTCTGCACTGTAAAGAAAATGATTATTCCCAGTTTCCACATAGCAAGACTAGTTTCAAAATACAGAGCCTGCTTCTATTAAGTCCGTCACTGTGATTACCAATGCCTTTGCAGGAAGGGTAATCAAGCCAATAAAAACTGATTTGGTAATAAAAAGGTAGCTGAATCCTAACAAGGTGGAATTAACACTTGCAAAGCATTGAGGTCTGACAGATAGTGATATGTATTCCTGTTTACTTTTAGACAAGAAGTTACCCAACAGAAATTCTATTCCAGACGTAGTTGATGTAGGCAGGAAGGAAGGAGAGAAAATTGCTAGACAATTGACTCGGTTGGCGTTGGACATACCCAGAAAAGAGTACGAACTAGCAGACCATAAGTTAGTAAATAAGTAGGCAGGGAAACAGACGTATATATAAAGCGTGAACGTCTTAAGGACATACACTGAGCTAAGTACCCTGATTATAGTGAAGGTTTTGTGACATGTTGTCTGTTCAGTCAATTGATTACATCGAGCCAAGTAAGAAACGTGAGTCTTGCTTTGCTCTTCTTCCTGCTCCATTAATTCAATCGAAATAAATAGATGCTTCAAAGTTGGACTTGATAGATGCTTCACTTAACATCTTGGAACCGATCGAGAATTCATGATTGCAGAAAGGTTTGTAAACAACTGGTTGGTATAGTTTGTGGGCAACGTTTCAAGCCATTCTGAAATCAGGGATGCTTCACTTGTTTTTCAAAGCCTGTTATCCTACAATTGAATGTTCTCGCGCCTGTGTAAACGGAAACGTGAGATAGCGCTTAGTGGAAGCTTCATAGACAACTTGCTGAATTCTACCGGATTGATTCGTGCACGACTAATGTAAGCATTGGGCAAACCCGTTCCCCCCGGGAATCAGCAACAACAAGGACGGCACCGGAATACTTACGCAATAAGCTGTGCTTTCGGCACAGGGGTATCAACAACAACAACAGCAGCAGCAACAACAATACAAATTAGCAAACAAGGATGGTTTCAAGCCACAACTAGTGTCCACAGAGAACACGGGGACATATTACAAGGCCCTTTCGCTCAGCTGATGCTTTCGACCATTATCACAAAGCTGTCTTACAGTTTGAAGTGTGTCTACCATGTCCGTTTACATAAAACGTGGAAGTGTTGCCCAGAGCCAAACGTAGTAACGCGCAATGACTAGATGGCGAGCAGATGCGCAATAATACAGAAACGAAAAGCTCCTGGAATTAAGGATAATTTGAAATAAGGAGTCAAGAAGCAGCATGAGTCGAATGGCATACGTCTGAGTGTGTCTACTTCAACGGGCACATGTAAACATTGGTGATTTGTAACCAAACAACACTTCAGAAAGTCACTTCAAACAAATCACTCACGTTCTGACATTGAAGTAGTTTCTCAGCAGCCGCAGTCTGTACCCCGGCGTTTTTCTTTTGCTCCTTCCCGCGATTTTTTATCAAGCGATTGAGTACACGTATGCTGCCAATTTTTATGTAAATCACAATGGGAGCCAAGCAAGTTTTGGATATTTGACTAGGATGGTTGACCGTGTCACAATCCAAGAGAAGCAACTGCATCTTGCTTGCAAGATGAAAAATCCTCTCCAGATCTTGCTGAACTTCCACTGCAACGGGAGAACGAAAGGAGACAGCGTCGCTAAATTCAATGCGCTGGATAAGATTGTTGGAAAGCTGGTGAGGACGTTTTTGAATGCATAAAATAAGGCGAATTATGATGAAATCACAACAGAAAGTGAGAGGAAAGCCGGGTCAGCAAATACTGCGTATTATTCTCCCAGTTCGATGTACGCGCGAATGTCGTTCGTAGGATGTGGGTCGTGGTAGTGGCGTACCAACTAATTTTGCCGCCCGATGATGCTAAAATTTTCGCCCTGAATGCGCTCAAGGTAAGGGGCATATTAGTTTTTAAAAAAACGGTCGGTCCTTTTTTACACTGAGGTAAAGGTTGTAAAAATGACCACAATGGGATAAGCAGAGGGATTGCTGGGAAAAAGGTTTGCAAAAGTGTGACACATGGCGCAAAGGTGTTGTTGGTCATAGAGTAACAGCAGAATCTTCAACCCTCAGTTTATCCGGATATTTTGCCGCAGCCTGCCATATGCCGCCCTGACTGGACAGCCCCCCCCCTCCATGCTACGCCTCTGGGTCGTGACCAACGATGCGGATTGAATCCATGATAATAATAAAAAACTCATGCCCCAATAAGCATTGATTTATCATTTTCCATAGAGTATTCAGACGAAAGAAAAGATTGGTGTCGGAGCAACACAAAAACTTATATGTAGGTAGGTGGTTGCAGTCTAGCAAGATGCGCAATCAGGTATTGGATCTCTGCTCGCTCTGGAACTGGTCGACCGCTGCAGGGATATCCCGACAGAATCAGACAACAACGAGCGGCGCCTCTCTGCCAACCAGGAGCTCAAGCAAAGCTTGCGCAGGGATCGCGAGGCGTGTTGGTTTGAGTGTGCTTTAGAGGTAGAGGCCGCTACCCTGCATAGAAACACTCGTAAACTTTTCCAACTCATTCGGTCCATCGGCCTCAGGTCTGGCGTGAGTGAAGTTATCGGCGAGGCGGACGGGTCTCCGATCACCAAGCAGCAGAGGTGTTTGGGCCGCTGGGCCGAGCACTTTCACTCGCAACTTAACTGGCTTCCACCGTCCATCCATGCATGCAGTACACCCTGTTGACTACCATAGCTTGTCCCAATGGATGCACTTAGCGAAGCGGTAGCCTGCTTTGAGAGCCGACGCTGGAAGCGATCCAAGGCTGCTCAGAACGGCATACACCAGAACTATCGAGATACGGCGGCGTGGCAATCATTAACTACCTGATCATGCTGTTCTAAAAATCTAACATGAAGAAAGAGTGCCTTTCTCGTAGGGTGAATCAGTTGTTGTCCAGATTGTCAAACAGCACGCAGGTCATGTGTCAATCGTCGAGAGATTATTCTCATATTAGTTGCTTCCAGGCTATTGGCATCCATTCTGCCTTGCAGACTATCCCCAGTACACGAAGCAAGCTAGATTCCGTTTCGGCCGTGGATGAGTAGATCAAGTGTTCACGCTTCGCCAATTCCTCGAAAAGCGCCATATTTACCACAGGTCTACTATCGTCGCATTTTTAGACATAGGGGATGCATTTGACTTGGTTGATCGACCTGCTTTATGACGTTGCTTACTGAAGAATGGGATACAGAGAAGTATATCACTATCCTACGCGTATGTTACCTTCATATCTCCGGCAGAGTGAGGGTCTACGGCAAGCTTTCGTCACCATTCGTTGTTAACAGTAAAGTGCGACAAGGTTACTTTATGTCCCAATTCCTCTCCAACTCTGCAATCGAAGACGTCTTGTTGACAGCTCTAGGTTTCCAAAAGTTTGGCCCAGAGCTTCTGCCGGATGAGCGAGTGAACGACTTAAAGTTGGTGACAATCCACAGAATATGCAATTCATTCTGAATCGTTTGGCCGTTGAACTATCAAAGTATTGCATGATATTCGCAGCCTATAAGTGTAAAGTATTGCTACAGGATAGTCCCACACCAGCTCCTGTGCCTGACCTTGTAGGTGTAAAACCTGAACAGATAGGTAGCTTCGTCCACCTTTGGAGCTGCTTCTGCTGACGGCATTATCGGCAAGGAAGTTCCTGTTCGAATCGCTGAAGCCCGATCAGCATTTGTCAATCTGAGGCACTTGAGGCGTCTTCGTGAAGTTTTCATATCGATAAAGTGCCGCGCTTACAGTGCCTCTGCTCGATCAGTGTTGCTGTATAGTTGCGAGACCTGGCCGATTCGCGTGGAAGACATGCGCCGTCTTTTGGCTTTCGACAACGGTTGTTTAAGCGGATCGCTAATGTATAGTGGCAAAACCGAAGTTACCGTGAGGATGTTAGACGTCGCGCCCCGAGGAATGCGAGCATTCCATTAAAAAAGCTTGTTTTGGTGAGCCAGTTGAGACGGCCAGGGCATGTCCTATGTGTGGCGCCTGAGCGTGCAACGCGCCGCACTCTACTCGCTTGTTCAGGACCGGGCTGCAGGAGACCGTGTGGTGGTCTGCCTTCCACTTGGCGACAGTACATAAAATCAATGAAGTCGCGTCTAGCCGTCGCTGGACCCGTACGTCTTCCTGGATGGAGACCCAAAGATGAAGAATGCCAGGGGCTTAACACGCGTGAAGGCATGGTCTATGACCGTAATCAGTAGAGGAGCTGCAAACAGAATCGTATTCATTCAGAAGTCAAATTCCTCAAAATAAAAATATAAAAAAACAAATCGGCGAGTGAGAAGTGAACGAAAAATATTGCGTTCGTACCATTTGTGAGCAAATCATCATCAAATCAACCAGTTGAACTAATGCTTCGCTACCATACAACTACGGTGACCAAGGGAACGAAGATTAATATAGGGCAGGGAAGGGGAACTTATCGGAAGATTTCTAATGCCTAAGAAAACACTCCGGGTCAAGGCGCTTACATCTATTCAACAAAATACCGCTACAAACAGCTGGGTATGGTGCAGAGATACAGAGACATTGGCGAGACAGCTTCCTTGCGGCTTTCACTGCCCCGCGTCATAATCAGCCATTACCCCACGGAGAACACAGCACCAAACATCTTAAACAGACAGCCCCACTAGAGGACTGCAGACACCTCGCTGGTGTCGAATGCGAGCTATGTCCTGTAAAGTCTCGAGCCAAACACCAAGCGATAGATGTTCAGAAACTCACCATCAATAAGGTGCTGCACATTAACACCGTAAGCACAAGAAGCATCAAAAGCAAACGATATCATGGCATGAACATAAATATTAAACAGGGCAGGAGCGTAAGACACAGCCTTGCTTCACACCAAAGACAACTGCAAAGTCACGTGGACTCCAGTAGGGATGGCGAGACAGACCGAATGCACCCAGTCTGGTCGTCAGTGACTTCAATTCCCGCTGCCAAGTTAATTTTTATCCACCACGAGCCTTGGGCACCCAACATCTGGAAGATAAAACAATGCCTTCCTAGGTAAGCGGTGACCGGGCATACGTGCCCAAGTTAACGTAACTTACTCAATGTTATACGATGCTTTAAGGAATTGCATGATTATCACTGCGTAGCACTCGAACACGCATATCATCGTTGCGGACACGCTAGTGCCATCCGACGACAGCGATGATCGAAGACTTGCAGCCCTCTCAGATCCAAGGGGCCAAGTCTAATTCTCATAGAGTAGAACGGTTCTCACTGTGGGCTTGTAAACATGGTATTTTAAGACAGAGGGTAACCCCTTTCTAAGGTCACATATATGGCAGACTTCAAAAGGCTGTTGTAGCTTTCGTAATACGTGAAATCACTTTACTGCTTACGTGCCCATCGTTGCCGCAGGTAGCAACGTAAGTGAACTGATCAACTACCTCGAGTTCCTGTTTATTTAGGGCCAAGTAATCATCAAGTGACTGGTGGTCATGCATAAAAACTGCACTTTAAAAGTGCGTAGCGGATGCCAAATAATAGGACCGCTTTCCAGGTGTCATTAAGGGTTGATTGAGCCGTCAAAACATCCTTGGACAGAAACACAAAATTACCACATAATCAAGATCGACTAGCATTACGCCAGGGAGCACCTCAACGACTGCATCGTAAGATTCCGTAAGGGAGCACTCCATGAAGCAGTAAACGACGAAATTGAATAAAAATGGAGAAATGGGACAACCCTGACTAACGCAACTTGTTGTCGGAAAAGCATCCGACAAGTTAACGTAGAACTTGACGCGGCCTGTAGCGTTCGAGTACAGAGCATGTAAAATATTCCCATATTTCGTGGGGAACATCTTTCCGTGTAAGTATTTTGGAGATAATGCATCGAACGACTGAGTCGAGTGCACTCTTGAAATCGAGGGACAGAGCTATTGTCGGTCTACGGTATGCGTGGAACTGCACTAGCACCTGCAGCAGAGTGAATTTATGACTTGCTGAACTGCTCTTCGTGGTGCCAGCTGGGTGGTTCAGGATTATCCCGTTCCAGCGAAAGGGTCGGTGGCAGTGTTCCAGGACGTGATGGGTTTGCGCCTGGCAAGCGTTCTCCATATAAAACCACGTATGTCCGTTTAACGACACTGCGACGTAGCGGATGTGATTCGTCACTAAATAAAATCACGGCCCTTGCTTCACCTCGCTGGAGCATTGTAATCATTCAGCTTGACGCTGAATTACTGGGAGTAATGGGCCCCTGTTTGACAGCCAGCCAAAGGAAAGGCGTATGAACCGAGCAATCGGTCAACGGCTCCCAATGGGCGCGATTCCCTGAATTCGTCCCGCTGCCTTGCGGGTCAAGTTCCTATGACCAAAGTCTCTGGATGGGGCCCCCAATTCAACCCGTTTCCTCCGCCTGGGTAAAAGGAAGCTGGATGCCCACAAAACACATTAAATGATGGATTTACAACTCTCTGCTCACGTTGTTGGCTCTCTGAACTCTCTCGCTTTCTCTTTGACCAGAGTGCTGGCGACCGGGCATGCTAAATCTCATTCTACCGCACCGCGGACCACAATCTTCGTTCCACCTTCCTTCAACCCTCCTGTTTTGGCAACCCCCTCTAATTTCAAGTCTCCAAAAGTGCAT